ATAGTTTTTCTAATGCGACTTATCTTAGACAAAAGTAATTTGTTTCGCGGGTAAGTGTCGTTTATGAAGATCCTCGAAGGGGTACCGTTGAAGCCAACTGGTCGGTCGAAAGCGTTTTATAAGATCTCGCAGTTGCGACGAAGTTCTCCTAAGATACCGTCTAGTGAAACCAAAAATTGGTTTATGTTCTAATGAAGTGCGAGTTCTGGTGACAAAATAATGTCCGACGTAGACTGGCTGTCCTATCACTTCACCGATTCCGCGACAGTTCAATTAGATTTTCGGTTTCTTCGCGGGTTCCTTTTTATCTCAATGTTGTTCATCCGGTCGAGTTGATGCTGTACGTTAAGTTTGGTTTCAAGAATGGCTATTTTTTTCTGTTCCACAAGTTGAGTTTGAAGAACACCTTGCTCCACCTAGGGTAGAAGTAGACTCTTTATGTAGAGAGATCATTTGATTATCAGATTACTATTTGCATCATATCCATGGTTTGCTTGTTTGCAATAAATTGCTCCAAGAGGGTAGACATACGAGTTATTTCTAGTTCAGATCTTCTTCTTGTTTTACAGTGTCGGGTAATCTTCGTTGTGTAGTAATTTTCGATTCCTTCAATTGAAGCGGTTGTGAAGCTGCAGTCGTGGGGAGATCTTAAAAGACTCATAGTGTTTACCTTTGTTGTATAGCATAAATCACCACTTAAGACAAGTGATGATATACGTTTGAAAAGCGAAATGCTTTAGTTAAACTATTAGTAGTTAATTTAATTACGGTGAGAGTTTGGATGTTTGAGGCAGACTTAGTGCCGAGAGACGTGATATTGAGAGTGATAATATGATAATTACCCTAAAACTTGTAAAGTAAAATAAGTTTTAGGTAGAGCTTAAAATTATACATTGCGAATAGTTTCCTTAACCTCCAAGACCAACATTACTTATTTAAAGCCGCTACATCCTGCCTTACTTTTGGCAAGCAAGTATCGGTTTTTGGTTAACGAAATAGCAGCATTTGCATGCAAAGTACTAGAATCTATGCAAATCCGCCGCTCCAGGTCAACTCCAGTCTTCTGGGAGCTTAGGAAGCCTGACATGGAATGCACATTAACAAATCTTTACCTTAATAATGAATCTTGAGACTTTACTTGGCGTTTAAGCAACAGCAATGTTTTGTTATACAATTACAACGTAATCCTGTTATAGAAATTACAAGGGTTGCGATGTAACACACCATAATGAATCCTAAATTTATGCCGTTATGTACTATTTGTATCATATCTTACGATCTTTAGTTATGCATAACATTATCTATAGTAATATATGGCTGAAGAGTCTGTTTGTTTAAACACGCTAATATCAGGAACTAAGGGTTCGAATTGAATTTTTTGTGTTGGTTAGAGCATTTATCGAGGAAGGCTATAAAACATTACGCTGTGACTAATAGAAGCGAAGATACTGCGGGAAACGGGACGCGACCGATGTCGTGGGCTGCTTAAATTTATAAAGATGTAGAGGTTTGCAAAAACAAATTTGGATGCCCCAAATAGCTTTTCTACGCGGACGAAGTCGCTGGCACAGCTAGTATTCTAAGTATATATAAATTCTTGAAGATCAATGAAACTGTGGAAATGCCGCGGACAAGGGTGGCTGCTGCAAAGCATCCGCAACGTCGGACCGAGTCCGTGTTTGAAAAAGTTTAAAAGTTATGAAGGGCGTATTTTTATTATTATAAAAATAAAAGTTAAAAAAAATTAAACCATTATACGTTCGTTTGTATGTAAATTAATTAGTTACGATATGAAAAGCGTTTTATCGAATTTCAATATTTGCGCAGGCTATGTGATTATTATAAACTTGGTCACGTTAGTGATTTACTTGTGGTATGATTTTAAATACTTAACCATATTTATGGGGTGATAATTAATCCATCAAATTAATTATTATAATTAGCTGTTTTAGTTTAACATTAGGCAAACCCACAAGTTAAGTAATATATTTCGCGTTTAAAACCATTCAAGTGTTTTATTTAAATGTATACTACTCGTATCAGCTATAGACACAACTATTAATAATTATTGTCTGTAACTTATGCTAATAGCAATCTGGCACGTTTTAAACGTTTAAATATGGGAAATATACATTTGTGTATCCCGTTTAGTCATCGAATCGAGAAATTTTTTACTTCTGTATACCAAAACTTTGATGTTACGCGTAATGCAGTCCTAGACCATATTATAACCATTCAACAACGGAATCATATATTTAGTCTAAACTAATATTATATACCTAAAGATTATGTTTGAACGCGCTAATCTCAGGACCTCAAAAATCTAATTGTCAATTTGTCAATTCAAATTGACAAATTCTTGGGTTGCGTTTTTTGTTGTTCACAGCATTTATCGAGGAAGGCCTTAGGCTATAAAACACACAAGAAGGGTGGAGCAAACCGAGAAAAATATTCATCTTTGAAGATTTCCGTTGCGTACTCTGCGAAAACTGTTTAAGATACCCAAAAATATGAAAGAATATATATAATACGTCTCTTTAAATGTTAAAAAAAGTCCGCGACATTACGTGTATATCTTTTAAGATTAAGCAAGAACGACATGACGCAATTGACGCCGTGCACCAACTATGATTGGTAAAGACATGGAGATTGTTTGTAAAAACAAATTTAGATGCTCAAAAACTATTCACGCGGACGTAATTGCTGGCACAGCTAGTTAACTATATATTTGTCTCGCGATTTAATGGCAAGACTTATTATATATCCTGCGGTTACTTAAGTACCATAATTTGAGCATCTTTGTTAGGACATCAAAGGAGCGATTCTTCCGAAGTTGAACTTCCATATTTCGTGAAATAACTTGACAATAAAGAGGAAGTAACAAAGACCATTGAAAATTGTTATACGATCTATTGTCACAACACAAGAGGGTTGATCGAGCCGAGGTGAGGCTTTAATAAGCTAAACATGGGACTCGAAACTTCGGGGAAATTCTCATTTTGCCGAATATTCCCTTTATATAAAATAGAATAACGTAACTGTGTTTGTGCCAAGCATCCAAAATAATAACAGTCAACAAAAGTGCAACGTTGTAATTACAGATTGTGTTTTTCATACTCATATATAAGGAAGATTTTTTTATTAGAATTGAAAAAAAACACGTCTCGGGCAGGCACTGAACCGAACCAGCATCCACAGCGTTCCGTGCTGTTGCTCTAACCAATTAAGCTATTGAGCAACAACGAGTTCTGCCCGAGTTGTTTGGTTGGACCGTGTATTTAGGAAGGTTATAAAAAACCAAGCTGCGACAAATATAAAATGCGGATAAGGGGAAAAATATTCACCTTTGAAGGTTGACTTACTTCTATATACTTCTATAACATTACGGTTTGAATCATCTTCGCATTGAACGTCCATCGTTACTACACAATATGCACGAAATGTCTATTGGTTCCATTACAATTGACCTATAGCATCGTTAATCATTGCGTGATATGTCGCCGCCGTTAGACCTGTTCTAATATTCTAGGTTCGATACTAAATATTATAAAGCACATTGCGTAAAGTACGAGAGTTCATGGGTAAGAATTCCAGGGTCATAAATACGTTTTCTTGATCAGGCAGGGCATAGAATTTCTTCTCTAGTTCTAGTGATTGACACATAGTGATATACCACTTAAGTCAGTTTGTTACTAACCCAACTAACACTAATTAGATTTAGGAAATGGTCTGACTAATCAATTATTATTATTTTTATATTCTGTTGTACTACTTATGATCAGCGAAACGGGCCGATATGTTTATCCTTTTGCCTATAGTGAAAACCAAGATTTTCACAGTATGTATTTGATTATAGTTATTACAGACCTTATAGTTTTCCATAGTATATAAAATACTTTTTTGGGGTTACCATATTGTGACTCACAGAAGTGTGTTCGCTCTTTGCCTCGGGCTTAAAATGATATTTGACTTTTCTTTGTTCAAAAATATACAAATTTAAAACATTGCATGTATCAATAGGTTGAAAGAAATCGACAATGACATGATGATTATACAGATAATAGTCATATTTATTTTTTTATATTTCGTTATTACTTATATTTTATATTAAATATAGACAGATAAACGCATATATTTTATATATGTTAGTTGATTTTCCGTCTTCTATGCACACACATATCGTCTACCGCAGTTCTATAGTATAGCTGTATTTAGACCAACTTTCAAGCGGTTCTAACTCATGTCAAGCACCCATTTGTCCGTCACGCAGCCTCAAGGGCCTCGGGCTACGGACCCTGACCAATTGACGGAGAAATTCACGTCTTGATATTCAGCATTCGCTTTGTTTACTTGCGGCTTGTGGGCTCTAACTGATATCGATTGACGCTCTTCAGAATAATTTTCATCTTGAACTTAGCCGATCTATAATTTTATAGCCTATAGGTATAAATCCGTTTTATCCGATGGGTATACAAATGGACGGTAAGTATCGACAACTGACCGGGCCACGAACCACCATCCAAGATGAAGGAATGTGAAGTGTAACCGGTTTCGATCAGTTGGGATTTTCGAATATCCAAAATCAAATAAATCGACAGCACTTCTTGTGTAGATTTTATATGGCTTAGGTTTTTCGCCTCCAACCGAATGCCCCCGGTTGGTAAGGTGACAGTCGTTAATTTAAAAAAAAAATTATGCCTGTTCTGTGATCAGGTCCAATAAATATAAATACTTGGTACAACTACCTTATTCTATTTAACTGCTTATAAACCTAATACACTGTTTTTTACTGATGATGAAACCTAGTACATTGAGCATTAAAGATCTTATAAAGAATTGTTCTTTTATATTTCGTAACTCTGAAAAACATCATATGATTAAATATTCTGAGACACCTTTACTTGTCTGTGACGTGAAACAACTTTTCTTTTTGCAGGTAAAGGAGTTACAGCTATGACAAGGATATCTCCCTTGAGCCGGCCAATATGTAACATCTTAACATGAACCCTATCACCTTCGCAATATTTATCACCAGCCTCTTTTGGCTTAACCTCAGCGACGCTAAAATAGGTGAGACATATAAATATATACGTGAGATATACGAATGTTTTGGTATCATATTATATTGGTATATGGGTAAAGTAACTTTTAATACTAAACAACCATGCGTAGATTTTATGACGAGGTCGGTGTAGTAATAATGGCGTAGTACGATATGGGTACTACCATTGGGTCACAGTTTCGACTCCCAACAAGTCCCACATATCTAAAATCAATTCAAAAGTTCTTAGGAATATTTAAGTCTTATTTTTGAAATTTCGTCCAGGTTACGAACCACTGTCTACAGATAGAAAAGCCTTAATCACGTTTCGATTTGTCCACAGACAAACGCTTTCAGAATTATTTAGCTCTGTAAGCGACCTGATTATTCATGACATTTGTAAAAAAAACCTACTAAAGGAACTTCGTGGATAGTTTGGAACCACGAAGTTCTAACTTACTGTATCGTTTTCAACCAAATTAGAACATTCTTCCTTAGATGTCATATGGTTGCAGTGTTTCACCTTCCATTAAGTGAACCATAAGCGTCGTCCGTTCTCTGACTTAAAAATGGTTTTGAAACTAATAAAGAAAATTGTTATTCTTATAACATAAACCATGATCTATTCTGGTTAATTTGAAGGATCTTGTTTGTTGTTCATTGGTTAGGGCATAGCTTTAAGCCCGAGAAGGTCCACACAAACCTAAACAAACAAAATTGTCTCACACAGAATTTCTTTCACTCAATTGTAAGCCTCATTTTATAATGCCAAAATTACGTTTTTAATATTGTACTCAGAGGTAAAGATATTTTCCAGAATAGTTGTAACTGTAGTTGTGTGGGAAAAGTGAAACATTTCGTTTTACAAGAACTATTTGAAAGATGAAAATAATCCACAGATAAAACAAGAGCCTTTATGGTTCAACTACATTTGAAGCTTCACTGTTTTAAACAATACAGTCAGATATTTTCTCTTGCTGTTAAGTTAAAAAGTAACGAAAACATTTGTGGAGATAATGTTGGTTGAGTAATAAAAATGAAAGTTACTTTGTAATGTGAGTTGTAAGAATTATTTATATGAGTTTTTATTTAGTAAGTTAATTTCTCTATTTAGAGTATACAACGAAGACTATGCATCTGTTAATAATTTTTATAATCTATAAAATATTTAAGATGCTATCCAACTGAACGAGTCTTTTCCCGGAACACGAAGCTTCTGTCACTGACGCTTAATAAAATAAAAGACTACACTTTATTTTAAAAATTGGAAATAAATTGAATAATTTTCGACTTGGGCAGGACTTGAACCGGCAGCGTCAACTTTCCGTACTGTTGCTGCATTTTTAATTATACAGTGCCTTCATTTTTTTCATAACATGTAAATAATAATAAAGTTTACACTTTATTTTTTTACTATTGCAGTATGTTACATGATATATTCATTTAAATTTAGTAAAAAGAAATAGATGTCACGTTTAAAAAAACCGTTAAAATTGTTTTATTTATATACCACTTGAAATTATAGACAGCACTACTTGATCAATTTTATGTTTTAGGGCTTCACGTTTCGTTAAGTAAATCCCTTGTTGATATTTGACTTTGATGCAATGAATTGATACAGTATGAGCGTTTAAAGTGACATATAAGGAAAGTAAAATTCTTTCCGAACTGTGCATGGTACAAACACACCTGTGTCTGCTTCTCTGGCCGATTTCATTAGAAGGAATACATGAGCCGGTTTCTGTGCTCTATGTAATCGAAATTTGAATCATCGATCGAACTTATATTCACTTGTAATGACAACCATTGAAGCAGTCGTCGTTAAGTAGATTATTTTGAAAAATAATAATTCAAATTTCTTTCCAGGGTACTTCTGGCACATCACAGATCTTCATTACGACCCGTTCCACAACTCCCCGGAGTTCCATAGAGGTACGCTCGTTATTATGAAATTTTTGTTTTTAATTTTTAAAGTGTATCGCGGAAAGCTCAGTAATTGTCCTTTGTTTGCAACAAAGTTTTGGTGCGTGGATAAATCATTTTGCTGCAAGTACTAATGTGAGGGATGGGAATTGTTCTGTTTTTTAGGGTTCACGATCCAAAAAGTAAGAACGGGACCCTGTTACTATAATTCACTGTCTGTCTGTATCGTCAGGTCAAGAATCGCAATCGCTAAAGCAATTAAGTTTTCACGGTTCAAAAGTGTGTATTCTTCTTGTCACTGTAAAAAAGATAATAAAATATTAATTATATTATTTATTTGGGACAAAGCGATTAAAAAGTTTTTTCCGAATTATTTCGAACTTCTATTGTTAATAGAAAAATTCTTTAAAAAAAAGACTTTTTTATCCTGCAACATATGTTTAATTTAACAAACTAATTAATTTTGTCACGTAACAAGGAAAAAAAATCTATTTGCAATTTAATGAAATTACATTGTACGGAGGTTCATGTTCTTATAAAGAATAAACTCAAAACAATATACACCTGATCTATTACAAGTAAGGTTATATTAAGTGGGTCATTATTGAACAGACTGATGAGATACAAACGAATCCCCAGAAAAAAATTTCGTAGTCATAAAAACTGTAAAATAAACTTAATAAGCTAAAGGTATTTTAATGTATCAGTAAAGTAAAATAAGATTAAATAGCTAATCTATGTTGAACATAAGATTTAGATACCTCTAAATACAATTAAAAAAATCATTGCAGGCAACATTTCAATAAATCAGAAACCAACTACGGTTTACACGTTGATATTATTGGCATCTCTTGAAAACCAATAGCTTTATTTCTATTTGAAAACTATTTCAGTAAACATTTGTACACGTGTAATGAAAATAGTTAATCAACAGTTCCACAGAATACCATATTATGTTTGTTCCACGAAATTATTTTTGTTAAAATCATTTACACTACGTTCCAAAATTGTTTCTTGAAGCAAATGATATAATGTCTGGCGTTTAAAGGTCTGTTTGTTCAACGATAGCTATGTTTGATTAATATTATTAACCAATAGGGTTAGCTGGGTTATAGATTCGATTACCTGGTTAAAAAAAATATAAACATATCCTCTTAATTTGGCGTTTTGAGCTGGAAAACATTACAAGCAATAACTATACCATCTCTGAAGTTATTCTTCTCAATCCAAGTTATTTTAAAACTCATCAGGAAATCTTGAATTTTTTTCATTTTGGAATGCAAATAGATCAAAAAATACATGCCGTGATAACAGTTTTGTAATAAAAACGAAGAGGCCACGCAATTATGCACTGTACCGGAAAAAATTACTTTACATTACAAGCTTTCTTTCAAGCGCTTAGTAGAGATTGTGTTACTTAAAGAAAACTTCCTCGTCGGTTTAACGAATCACGTAGCTTTTCTGCGCTGTAGTTTTTTAAAAACACTAACACAACAGCTTTTCAGTTGTTACAGTATGTTTTTGCTTTTATTAATATTTCCGCTGAACTCGAAATTGATCGGTAACAATGTCGTTACATGTTTTGTAGATCTCTGCTCTACTATTATTAAAAAGTTGAAAAAGTCCGATTGTATATGCGCCAAAACGAAGTATGTAGATACTTGATGCTAGACAGTATAGTGGTTTTATAAAAATGCCTTTAATATTTTTAATGGGTCAGTCGGAATGGAGTTATTAATATCGATCGTGGTTCAATTATCGTTGCTATTAAGTATTTTATATTAATGAATGTATGCATTGAAATGCAATCATTCGATCCAAACCGATTCAATCTCAATAAGAATGAGCTATAAAAGTCTCATAAAAAATTACCTAATTATTAACCACTAATAAAAAATCCCAATCCTTACTGTCTGTAGTTTACGTAAGTAGTACATATTTAAATAAAACACTTTAACGGTTTAAAACGCGATATATTTCAGGTAAACTTTGCAGCAATCGTGGTCACAAGGTAACTGAAAGCATCCGAAACGTCGGGTCGTACTTAAAATAATTATTAAACAAGTTAAACTAAAATATATCGCGCTTTAAACCGTTAAAGTGTTTATTTAAATCCCATTGCTTATATGCTTGCCCCACATTAGGCGTTTCAGTGTCCATAGCTTTCCTTGATTTTTTTTCGAGTAGTTAGTAAGTCTACTGTGCCTCACCTGTACTTTTCTTCGTACAAATCTATGTAAAACGCGTCCTAATTAATTATTAATTTCTATTATTATTCAAAGCTTTTAAAGCTGTTTTATAACTTATTGTGTACCTGTACATATTGTCAGTTAATCTATATAACTAGGACGTCTTATCTGACTATCCGGATGATGGGGGCTATAGATACCAGCTCTATATATTATGTGAAGGACTACTAAAAAAACACTTATAACATATGAACAATATTAAAGTTTTAACCAGTTTTTTTTCTAGTCACAACGGATTCAAACTAAGATAATTCTTTCGTAAGAAATGACTACATTATGTTAAAATTATTATATAGATAAATCCGCTTGCTCCACAGGTTGCAAACATCGCGGTAACAATGACCACAATCACAGAAATGGCCGACACAGAGACCACACGTGCGACAGTTCCTGGCTGCTCATACAGAGCGCCGTCTCCTTCATGGCTGAGAGACACCCGGACACCTTGGAGTTCGTGCTTTGGACTGGGTGAGTGTAACCGCAGATTATAAATTAGTTAAATATTCCTTACTGGGCGCCTTATTATGAGACTAGTTTAGGCCGCGAATTCGTTCACGTAGAATAGTTCATTTGGGCATACAAATTTATTTTTGCAAATAACCTTCTCGGTTAATACGTAGGTAATGATTTATAGCTGTTATCCACAACGTCGTCAGCGTCTCGTCGTGGTTGCGGGTCTGATCTATTGTCGCGGTACTATTTTTTAGATATTTTATAACCTGATAATTAATAAACCTTTCTATCATACATATTTTTTGGTTGTAGAACAGTTTTATAATATTAAAAATACATACAGTAACAATACATTTTTCTGTTTGTTCGCGAAAGCAAAATACATACTTTCAATATGACACTGATTAATAGAAAACGAGATAACGAAAGAATGTTACTAAATAAAACACCTTAACAACGCGAAACTTATTACATAATAATTACAATACAATCGTTAAGATTCTAAAAACCATCTTAAACGTAACAAATTAACTAATATTTTTCGCCTTTTTAGCCGTTAAAAGTTGTTATTCATTAAATATATTACTCGCATAAAACAAAAAAAGAAGAGTTTTAAAAGAGCTCTACGGTATAAAAGTTTTCATATAAAAAATGAGAGACATTTGTTAATTGGATGTCACTTGACCGAGCCTTTTCAATTAACATCAAGTAAACTTTGTTTGTTACCTTCTGAAGAAAAGCTTGCAAGACAACCATTGCTTGTGTTTTTAGGTTCCTAGCTTTTAATATTAATTCAATGTTTATCTTAACCAGCGACATATTATCTTCATCCATGGAACACCTGAGTGACGAAATCAAAATGGAGGCCGTGAGAAATGTGACAGATCTTCTAAGCAGGACGTTCAGTAGCCAATTCGTCTTCCCAGCACTAGGACACAATGATCCACCTCCTTCTAGAAGACTCATTGATATGTGGATGCAGTGGTTACCATCTGATGCATTGGCGACTTTTGAAACAGGTAACAGAATATATAAAGCTTGGGGATAATAATATTGATTGTATTTAACAAATCACTGTCATCCAACGTACAGTAAAGCTTTGTTAGGCCTAAAGAGTTCAGGTTAAGTTCATTTTCATTTTTTTTCAATTACATTCTCAGTCAGTCCGGCTTTAACTCCGAAACTGAACCTAAGAAACGACATAAAATACTTTTAAATGCCAAAAAAGGGTTGATAGGGGTTGAAAAAGGGGGATGAAATTTTGTATCGAAATTCGTGTTTTTTGAAGCTAAAACAATGAAACTTTCTTCTTTGGCTTTTTGGGAGGGTGGGAATGGGAATATGAGTGGGAGTGGGATTGGGAGTGAGAGTGGGAGCGAGTGCAGGAATGAGAGTGACAGTTAGAGTAGGTACGATTTGAGGTGAGAGTGTTGCAGCAAAGTAGCACTTACAACATAGATTGGCTGCCTTTAAATGCGCCCTTACATAAATTAATAAACAGCCTCAATAATTAACAATTCTACCCCCAAGTCGCATGGTCCACGCGGACGAAGTCGCGGGCACAACTAGTGTATAACTGTGTCTATAACTCCATAGTACATAATTATTTGACGTGCTTTTTGGTGTAATGGTAGCAACCAATCATCCATCGTAGGTTCGATTCCCACCGGGACAAATATATTTTTCTCATAAATTCAAATTTTTCTTAAACAAGTTACTAAGTCTCGAAGTCTGGATATTAAATGAGTATTAGGAACATCGAAATTCCGTCAAGGTCCAACCACAGATGAAAAAGCTGTAATGTTTAATCGCATTGCGGTTTCAGTCTGTGGAATTCCGTAAATCCAAAAGCCGACATAGATCGACAGCGCACCTTATGTAGATATCATATACTACAGGATACCCCCTTGTCTGTCCTCCTTTACTATTAATTTAAACAAATCCGGGTTGTTGTATAATAAGGATCTTTCAGGCGGCTACTATACGATAGAACAATCATACAGTAAGCTTCGCATCGTCGTATTGAATAGCGTGCTGTGGGCTGGAGGAGCGGCGAAGACAGATGGCCCTCATAGAGGTCGGGCTCAGTGGGAATGGTTGGAGCACGTTCTCAGCAAAGCCAGGAGGAAAAATGAAATGGTAAGGTAACCTTAAAACGGGATGTACGGACAAACGCCCGTACACATTTATTGTATTTTTTCTTTTTTTATTTTATAGCTTAGCTAGCATAATTTTAAATCTATGTCAACGTCGTGCTCACTTCAATGTTTATATTAAAAGCAAATTTAAAAGGTTAGCTTTGTCAGCGTCTTATTTTTCACTTTTCTTGTAAATTATATTAAAGCAATATTGATAGGAAATAAATCAGTTGCACTACAGCACTCATTGGGTTTGGTTATCTCGCCTCCTTCTTAAACTTATCTTAATCTTAACATTTATTTACTATTATATACATTCATGTATACTTTCCAAACCGTTATACGCAACAGTCTCTGGTACCCAAAACTCGGGAGTATACGTCTAAACTGTTATACACTACACGGGATATATATTAGTTAAACTTATTTGTAGATTATTTTAAATACAGCCCGACGTTACGGTTGCTGTGAGTATATATTAAAATATCTACTACTTAAAATAACCTCCAAATAAGTTAAACTTATATATATATCGCGTTTTGAACCGTTTGTGTTTTATTTAAATGTGTACCACTCGCGTAAGCTACAGGAGGTATTTAAGATATTCTTATAGGAGAAAATGTCAGTTAAAACAAAAGCAGCAACTACTCCACTGTTTACTATTTTTAAATAGATTAGTTTATGTCCCAAAAAGCATAAAAAAGAGAAAATATAAAATGAATAAGAGTTAAATAAATTTGAAACGTTTTCAAATTACTTCTGGGTTTCGTACCTATCAAACATAAAAATTAAGGCCGTTGAAACATTCCGACGTCTTCGAATCCATATTGGTATTTATCGAAAAACATTGTCGGAAGTCTCAATCTTTAGAAATTCACTACGTGACGGAGTCATCAAATAAAATTGATACGTCCTTATAAAATATCAAATAATTCACCATTTTTATGCTCCACTAAGCGCAGAGATCAAAAAGAATAATTGGAGAGCGAAATAAGACGTTTATGAAGGATCAGTTTGAAATGAAACGTTTTATTTTTTAGACGTGCAATCTAATAAATAAATTCTTTACGTGCGCAACCTAATTTATATATCAAAAAGCATTTGAATCTTGGATTTTTATTAAATAAAAAAGGGGATGGGAATAGTTATGATTTCATTAATATTTTTTAAATTATTTTACAACACTGTTATTATTTAAACTATTGGTTTGGCTGTTTCAAGCCAATTCAGCTACCGGGTTTTAAATCTCATTTGTAGATACATATTTATATTTAAATTAGTAAATTCATGTTAAATAAGATATTTAATAAGTGAATGTAATAAAGCTATTAATATGAATTAAAACACATTTTAAATATATTGTATTTTATTTATGTATAAAAAATCTACCAATTGAGCTACCGAGTCCAACATAAATTCAATTATGCTCTTCTAAAAATATTTCTGGCTTTCTATATAAGCAGTGGGTTATGTCAATAAAATAATGATATTACAAAAAAAGTGTTGATTAAAAAGCCTTACTTCCATAGGTATACTTAGTAGCCCATGCTGGTCCAGGAGTTGAAGAACGACATAACGCTGGTAGTTCTTCTGCGGCTGGTGGGGGAGAACTAACGCCAACGGCCAACTCGAACTTAGTGCGGATTATAAAAGCCTTCAGTGACGTCATTGCTGGGCAGTTCTACGGCCATCGTCATACCGACACCTTCAGGCTTATGTACAATGAAGGTAAGAGTTTTTATTATATATTGTATCATCTTACTTTATAGTTACGCGAGTAGTACACATTTAAATAAAAATTTAACGGTTTAAAACGCGATATATTAGTTAAACTTATTTGAAAATGATTTTTAACTTCGGCCCCGCACGTTTCTGGATGCTTTTGCAGCAGCCGTGAGCTCCCTCCCCCCCGTGACCACGGCTGCTGCAAAGCATCCGAAACCTCGGGCCGACCCCCCCCAAAGCGTCCGCGTTAAAAATCATTTTTATTTAAACATTGCTGTATTTACTGTACATTTGTTCTTGGTGATTAAATGCTTAGATTTGTATTCTGCAGGATCTCGGTATTACTATGTGAATTTATTTATTGCATTGCGTTGCATCGAGTGACAAAACTATTTAAACTAATATGCTATATAATAGGCTGAAGAGTTCGTTTGTTTGTTTGTTTGAACGCGCAAATCTCAGGAACTACTGGTTCAATTAGAAAAATTATTCTTGCGTTGGTTAGAGCATTTATCGAGGAAGGCTATAAAACATCGGGATATAACTAATTGGAGTTGAGAACTATTCAACGCGGACGAAGTCTGACACAGCTAGTTTAATATATTAGTAGATTGGGATGTGAAACATTTCGTGATATTGTTTATAGTAATGTTATCTGAAGACTTTCGTAATCTTTGATGGAATTTCGATACTTCTATCCAACCTTTTAAGGCTAGATTTTCCCGACTGTTGCTGTAAAAAAGGCCAATAACTCATTTTAAATCTGAGATTTTTGGAATTCGAACAGACGATTCGTCGCGTCTTAGCGAAATATAACTACCATCGAACCATCAAAAACGTAAGCATTATATACTCGTATATTTGACTATGTGTCACACATTTTATTCCCGCCATATAAAAAATACGATATACTTACATTTCGTACTTAACGACGACATATAAAAAGTCAATAAAGCTTGATTGCGTAATAAAGCCTTAGCATAATAATGAAGTTATAAAGTTGGAAACAAAGTTAACCCACAGCCTTACACGATTAAAAGTTGAGTCCGACAATTAATACAATATTAGGCTATTAAACTAATGTTTGGAGTTGATACGCTTTCAACGACAGCGAAGCCAAAATTTGTAGTGACGTCAGAATTTGTATGTATGTATTGTTAAGTGCTTTAACTACTGAACGAGGTGGCAAATTCATAATAACCATTAAATTAATTAATATAATACGTATAAATTCTGACTCTGTACAAATAATTAAACGTGTTGCTTAGCATTTCATTGAGCCAAGAGGTCCTGGGTTTGAATCCTAGGGAAAGAATATCTATATTGTTCTATCGGGCAGGGCACAATACAGCAAAAGTAGTTTTTAAGTACATAAAGGTTTATTAACTTTACTATATTTTTTCGTTTTGAATGGAAATTCTCTCAATAAGCTCAATTATATTTATACAGTTCACGCTTACCAGACCATATTTAATAGTTACAAAAACTTTTTTATCAGGTCGACCGGTGTCGTGGGCATTATTGGCGCCTTCGATAACACCAAGGGGAGCTGGTAGCACGTCGAACCCAGGTCTGAGGCTATACAAGTTTGATACGAATAACGGAAAAGTAAGTGGAAATCCAATCGTCTTGATAATATACTGACAAACATTGCCGTTAACAGAAACTTCTTTAAGTATCACAAACGCCAAAAAAACTTGTAATAAATGTATATTTTGACCACTGTAGCCGAATGGTTAAACGTATTGCGTTGAGCGCGAGAGGTCCTAGGTTCGAATCCCAGGAAAAAAAAATTATTTCCGTCGGGCAGGGCACAGAAGTCTGATCAACTACTTGCCCGTTAAAAGAACAGATCAGTGAAATAGATACAGAAATGTGTTCGTCCCATGGCCCATGAGGGGGAAACGGGCTTTCACACAAATGTATATTTTTATGATAGAGAAGGACAGACGAGCATGTGGTTCACTTCATGGAAGATTTTCTGTCGACCTATTTCGGCTTTTTCATCTGTGGATGGTGGTTCGGTAAAGCAATTTCGATATTCCTACCACCCATTTACTATCCAGATTTCCAGACGAAGTCCTTTATTATGCTTTAGTTTCAAAAAATCATAAATTGATAAGAAAAATGTTAGTCTGGATCGGACCTATGATCTATTAGTTACTAATATATTGCTAATTACACCAACGAGGCTGTCAAATTACAAAAAGTAACTCAAGAAATAGAATATTCATTTATTTTTACATTTCTAAGTTGTAAAATGTTAAAAGGCTTTACGATATTATAGCCTTGGAAGCATTAAGCCTCTTTTCGGCCATCGCTGTTATTTCAATTCCACGAATATTCACGTTAAACGGAAAACTAATACCCACTACGTTACACCGTAATAACATTATTATGTTTTGACTAAAGCCCGCCCTTAAAATGTTTCGTTGCCAAATGAATTTCAATTCGTACTTCTTAAACTAAGTACATGATACCGCTTAATTTCGCCACTCCACCCAATTCGTGTCAGGAATTTGTTTGATCGTGATACTAAGCTTCGACTCCACTCTATACAACCTCTTGCGATGTGTTTACATAATTAACGCCTTTCAAATTAATTACATTAAAGCAGCAATTAACTTATAATTTATATTAATTGAAATATAGACTTAATAATATGAAATTGAAGCCAAATATCAGAAGGTAAATTTATATAAATCTATATTTACAATGTAAGGTAAACCGTCTCTTAATAAAGCATACACGTGTCTACATTATTGTTTGATAAAAAGTTTTAGGATCCCTCTAAAATATATAGGTCACATTTAACAAGGTAAATAATAATTATCCAAAGGATCGGGCAGTTACTGTAAAAGCGTACAACGTTGGGTGACATATAAAAAACATATTATATAAACAAATTAAAAATAATAATAATATAAGACACGCTGTCGGTGTCGTATTTTTTAAAATTAAATCAATTTTCTCGATTTATATAATGCAATAGTGAAAAATATAATTTTAAAATATAATTAAATTTCTGTATGTTTTTATCATCGACTTTATACAAGCAAGTAAATAAAGTCCATGTTTAATGTAGGTGATTATGCTTTATGCCCGGCACAGCCGAAACAAATTGTCCTTAGAATGCGATGGTTAACGCAATGTCTGTAACCATTGATTCACGAATACTGTTATTTAAAAATACGTAAAAAATATATGTCACTGCTCTACACAAAGTTAACAGTTTAAAATATGTTTAATAATAATCTAATTTCATATATTGTTTTAGGTGTTAGACTACACACAATTTTACTTAGATGTTACTAATAAAAAGGGCGAGGTACATTGGGCAGTGGAATACAATCTAACACAATACTACAATCTGAGGGAAATAACTGCTGTCTCATTAGACAATTTGTCGAAAAAAATTCGAAACTACAACGACCGCACCTTCTTGAACAAGTATGTATGAAATGATTATTGCGTTAATTTTATAGCTAAAACTAATAATTTTAATTGTAAAATTATGGAACATTTTACGTAATCTTATAACACAAATCGTACATTTAATAGCTATTAAAAACACGTTTATTCTTTATAACTTGAGTTTATAATGATAATTGGATAGTACAGCTTACATGAATAATTTTTTGAACTTTACTCAATGTAAAGATTTTGTAGATAAATGAATGTTTAAATATAACACTTTAACGGTTTAAAACGCGATATATTAGTTAAACTTATTTTAAAATTATTTTTAACTTCGGCCCGACGTTTCGGATGCTTTGCGGCAGTTTTAAACCTTTAAAATGTTAAATGTGTACTACTCGGGTACACTATAGACCGTATTTAAATGAATGTTAATAATATTATATTTAAAATTATTCAAGATTAGTTTAAACGTATTTTTAATCGTTGACGTGATGAGATCTGTAAGATATCTTCCTGTTTTAGGTATCTCCTGGCTCTCCACGTCCGACACTCCACTGACGTCTCGAACTGCGACGCAACATGTGTCCACGTCCACTACTGTGCCATAACTCACGCGGAATTTCACGAATTCCGCGCATGCGTAAGAAACCCAGCATCTGCTCTTGCGTCGCGCGCTCCACACTTGTCCTCTGCCATTTTACTTTACGCTATTGTACTTCTTCTCTGTTCTAGAAAACACTAATGCTTCCGTAATATTATTGGGATTCACCATAAAAACAATTTAGAACAGTTATTATTGATGGTGTTTCCCACAATTAAATGTGAAAATGTTACAATTATTTACACATTCTATCATTTCTCTCATGTCTCCGACGACTGTCACGTCACAAATATATCACTACGGTCTCTTATTCTCTATGTTATCTTATAGAATTGTCTATGGGTTCCATTTTTAAAAATCGTTATTGTAACGTTATGCCCCTGTCATTTTAAAATAATTAAAAATTCGAAATGTACATATTAACTATATTATTGTTGTTTAACGACGATCTTTAACGGAATGCATTTGTGTGCCTATCAACTTGTAATAAATTTGGGGACAGATAACGGCATGTATATAATAATATTCGTAGCCTAATACTATTAAAAGTATATGTAAGCGACAAATACGTATTTCAGTATTATAGCCCTTAATATTATTTTAAAATGAACTTTAAAGTTTCTTCCTGCGTATTCTTCATTCCAACTCTTCAAAGTTCTAACTGTCATAAGAAAAACGATTATAGAGCTTAGACCCACCACGCTGCTGCAAAACGGGTGCGTGGGCTCTAACAATAACCGCTACTAGATAATTATGTGGTGATAACGGACTTAACCTGCTATCAGACGCGCAGGGCTGATGGCACTGACTTCCTCACCGGAATTGGAACGTTGGACTACTGCATCACTACTTTTTATTCAGTATAACATAATATTGTTACTTTGTATTAAAATTATGCTCATTACCAAAGCTAATTTCATTATATACCTGCGTTTACTGGAGTTCGTAAAAAGACAACCCGACATTTGGCTTCATCGTAAAAAGAATAAATGTTTTCATAAAAAGTGTAATATTAAAGCTTTTTATAATAAGCAAAAAATTCTCTACGGTTTTATGAACACGGTTCGTAAATGTTGATACAATTTTTAATACTCGTAATCGGGAACTTATGTTCGTTGGAATAATGAAGTCGGGTCAAATGCAAATACAAATACCTATTCTGATATTGTTTTCTAGTTATTTATATGTTGTGATAATATATAATAGGTTTATAAATATATTGTATATATAGAAATAAGTTATGTATAAGTGAAATGTAATATAATCATTGATAAAATAAAAAGTTATAATACGTAAAAACTTTTTTTTATTTTATTGTTCTTACCTGTCTATTTTAATAAGTATTCACTTTTTAATGTTAGAAGTGAACACAAATAAAAAGAAAAACGTTTGCAACTGAGATGCACTGTCTATTTTTAGTTGAAACTCAGAAATTGAAGGGCCGAAACGTGTTTTTCTACGATAGAGTAGGACAGACGAGCAAGTGAATACTTAAGTGAGAAAAACCCTAAGCAGATATAACATCTAAACTAGATGCGCTATCGAGCTATTTTGATATCCACATACTGAAACCGAATCGCGATTTACCTTCATATCTATGGACGGTGGTCCGTGACTGACGGAATTTAGATTTTCTACCATTTAACTTCCATACTTCTAGACGAAGTACATGTTTAGAGAATTACAATCTCAAATTGATTAGAAACATGTTGGAAATTGCTGCCATTAGTCAAAACAAAATATAAAAACGCGTTTTTGCACATTACGATTCCATTTATAGACAAAAATGCTCTAACGCATATATGCAATTTAAAATATAGTTACTTTTTTAGGGCACTGTTCACACTTCGACCGCCTCTGTAGCCAAATGGTTAAACGCATTGCCTAGCATTGCGTTAAGCGTTTTCGCGCTAAGGATCCTGGGTTCGAATCCCAATAGAAACAAAAACAATTTTCGCTCGGGCAGAGCACAGAAGTCTAATCAACTACTTGCCTATTAAAGAACGGATCAGTAAAACGAACACAGAAATGTGTTCGCCCCATGCCCCACGAGAGGGGAAACGAGATTTCACTCTTCACACTTACATTTCTCTTTAAGGTAGAAGAAAATAACTTAAATATGCTGACATAAAAACACCGCACATTGGTAAAAGCAAACTACTGTTACTAATCATTCTGGTGCCCTTACAACATGCCTGCGAAATAGGTCGTACTAACCTTTTTGTTAGACCATTTTTCTTGGATCCCTCATATTTGCATGCCGAACCAGTACAATAGCGTCTACAGCAAATACAGGGTTCAAAAAAATGTTACACATGGATATTGATATAAGTGAAAAAAGGTTGAATAAAACTTCCGAATTCTTTGTAAGCTTTCAGAATAAAGCAAACAAGCAATATTGCTGACACTAGACATTATTACAGGAACTTTTAAGCAGCTTTTAGTAAAGAGGGTCAAATAAGAAGAATGTTTGTGACCGGCTATGTGGGAAGGTCCCTTCTGGCTCTTGTACATTATTTTTATCCGTATATAATTGGCTTTTTGTGGCCTCCTTTCGCTTTGACCTGCTAACCTTTATTTTGGAAAATTATGGAACCTGAACCTTCGACCAACAAGAGGTCATAATGCCCTAGCCAAAAATGTTACTTACTTACCTTACCACTACACACACATCCAAAATGGAAATTAAATAAAATTTGTCTGTAGTTTACGGAAGTAGTACACGTGTAAATAAAAGACTTTAACAGTCTAAGACGCAATATATGTTAGTAAAATTAATTTCGGATTTTTGCAGCAGCCATGGTCACCCCGTGACCACGAGTGCTGCCGTGCATCCGAAACGTCGGACTGTAGTTAAAATATTTTGCAGCAAGTTTAACTAATATATATCGCGTTCCAAACCGTTAATTTGCTTTATTAAAATAAATAAAATCTTGCATTTACTTTCTTGTATTGATAAGCCTCAGTTGAAATGACCGTTTTAGACATAATTCAAGCGAAAGAATTAGAATTCGATAAAAATATCACTTTTTTATACTAAATTTGATACATGAATTAAAGAGTGACTAGGTGCCTTTTAAAATCACCATTCTATTTATGGAAAATCTCGTAGGTACGTTCTTAATTACAAATCCAATAAACTGGGAATAAACAACAAACTGAATTTACGTCCGCTGCTGAAGCTCATCGAAGCACTTGATTTAATTATTATGAAAAATATTTAAGAGAAACTTGATTTTAAATATACATATATCAAGCTACGACACTTTTTAGTATGAGATTTACTTTAATGCTAACACTTTAACGGTTTAAAACGCAATATATTTGTTAAACTTATTTGAAAATGATTTTTTAACTTCGGCCCGACTCGCGTAAACTACAGACATTATTTAATTAATCTTTTACAACTCATAAGTGTTTTTCTTCATTGTCATTTCACGCAACTTAGTCGACATTTTCCTTCGCACAATTCAAAATCGTGTTGACTCGCTTTATGTTCTTACCATACGTGCGAGCTAATTGGCACAGATAAAGCATTATGACTCGTGACACTCAACTCAGCTAAAATAAGAGAATTCGTTTCTCCTTTGTTTTCTCTAATAGGCTTCCAAGTCACATCAACAGGAATAAAACCTTTGTGTTTGTCCTCTGGTATGTACATCTAATTAGAGTACAATGTATCTGTGTAGCTCCATGTTGATTATATTACGTATTTCGGCTGACCCTTGCTAATTAAATTTGCTGCAAAATTAATGGCATACGACCCGCGAGACGCTCTCGGGACAGCACGCCCGAATTATGTTAATCTGTTATGATTTTTTTTTGATCCTCTTCTCGCGTAACAATAGAATTGGATGCAAAAGGGATGATTAAGCAGGAAAAAGGTTGAATTTGCACTTTTCGGGATAAAAGAGAAACAGTCCTAATTCAAAGCGGAATATTCACGAGCTGATAAAACATCTGACCGATCTCCGCTCAATATGTTTATTTTGACAGCTGTCAATTCGCGCGTTCCTGAAGCGACGTTGGCGCTTTATTGAATAACACTAATGATACAAAAACATTAAAGCTATCCCGAGTGAGTTCGCGCATTATTTTAAAAAGCGGAATCGTATATTTTTTCATCTCGAACGCAAACAGGCTGCAGGTATTTTGTTTGTTGAGCATCAGACGTATCTTTTAAAGTGGAATACGAATTTTAAACGTAGCTAAATCGTTCCAAAACACGCATATTTTATTTACTTTTCCAGTCACGAGAGCACCGCAGTGGCCGGACATAAAATCAAATTAGTGGACTAATAAAGCAAAGGCAATCCGCTTTTACAGAGCAATTTAATATGCCCACTGAATACTGCTGGCCGTGCCGCCGCCGTACGCGCCGACTAATTGTTAATGAAAGTACATAATGTAGTTTGCGGTTCAGTTGATTTTTTGCCGCACATCGATTTTCCGCTACCAGTTAGAACAAAGCTATTATCGGCCAGTTCAATACTTTTTCAACCGCAACGATTGTGTACAATACATTTCACTGAGTTATTATTTACACTAGACTAACTAACGTTAAAAAAGTTTTACCGACGTTAGATATATAATTACCAACATCTCTTTGCTTCTTATAGTCCCAATTGTGGGACTATAAGAAGCAAATAGTGATGATGCGGCGAAATTAAATTGAAACCTTTGTCAAATCATTATTACACTATTATATCTATTTTGTTCGTCTTCTTGTTTGTAGATAGTTGTTGTATCTGCTGTTGCTATCTGTAACATTTGAAAGCTATTTGTTATGCAATTCTACACCAATTTTAAATAAAGTTTTTAGTTTCTTTTAAAATAAAATAAAATCAAAGAATAACACAGTTCTAATAACTGTGTGTCATCGATTGTATCTTTGACGCGATCTAAGTTGATAACATAAAGTGTACTTCTTGACACGTTTTCCTAGATATCTAATGATCTTTTTTGTAATGATTACAACTCCAATCTTGACTTTAAAAATACGTGGACTACTTCTTCACATTACAACTCTCTTTCAATTGTTATTTTTGATCCTAGTATGGTTAAAATAGTTTCAGTTCTTTTGAAGCCTCTTCAATACAAACATATCGTTTCGGTTCCTTTTATTAATGTCGTTTGACTCT